TACCTATAATATTTCTCTAAGTCAGTGGTTTTCAGCCCTGGCTCCACTTTAGAATCATCCTGGGAGGTTTTATTTCTTTATTTTTAATTTTTTTAAACGTTTATTTTTATTTTGAGAGAGAGACAGAGCATGAGCAGGGTAGGGGCAGACAGAGAGGGAGACACAGAATCTGAAGCAGGCTCCAGGCTTTGAGCAGTCAGCACAGAGCCTGATGTGGGGCTTGAACCCATGAGCGAGATCATGACCTAAGCTGAAGTCAGACACTCAACTGACTGAGCCACCCAGGTGCCCCATCTTGGGAGGCTTTAAAAGCCATCATTGCCTGGGAGTTCTCCAAGGTGGATCTACCTTAAATTCCTGCAGGCGATTCTAGTCTCTCCTGTGGCTAGAACAAGACTTTAGAGGTCCTAAGCCCTGAAAAGATTGAGTTTCCCACCTGCCCATGTAAATAAAAATAACATTAAATTTTAAAATATATATTGGGGATTTATAGCCTTCTAATTTTGCCCAAGGTGTTTACTTTCATATTTTTAAAAAATATTAGATATAAAAATTTTCAAAAGAAATGGTACCTCTACTTTGCTGGCACCTTAAATACATATTTAATCTCCCTTTGGGAGTCCAGTCCTAACTCTCATCCCAAAGATCGCCTCCTTGGAGAGAGTAGTCTTATTTATTCTTTCTAAAGTGGCACTGCCAATATCCTGAGATCCTCATCTATTATATCATGCCATTAAAAATATTTCATAAAAAATGTTGAACTTTGTAATTGTCAGATTTAGCCTTTGGTTTACTTGTTTATTGTTTGCCTCTTGTCTGTCTTTTTTGCTGCTGTCTTGTTTGTCCTTATCTAGCATAATGCCTGGTATAAAATAAGTGTTCAAAAAATATGAACAGAATGAACGAATGAATGTGCGCTGATGTATGGCAAGGAACAGTGGGTAGATTAATACCAAGGCAGATGGGCCACCTTGGGTTGCTACCCTGCAAAAGGCTGGCTTTATGGGGTGGGATGGGAGAAGTGAGTTTCTGGAAAGGGAGGACTCTGACTGGTTACGAGGAGGGAGGAGCTTGGCTCCAGCAACATGGCCAAGGCTTAGAGCAGCAGGAGCATGCCATGATGTTTGGTGGATTCTGGGGGCGATGAAAACTAGTATTTATTTTTAGGTTGTAGTTTCCCTGTGTCACCTCCAAATTTTCATTACAATTTCTTAAACTCAACAGCTATGTTTTGTACTTTGGGGAATGGAAGAAGGACTGTGTTTGTGTTTGGGGGTCAAAGTAGGTTGGAGAGATGGTTAAAAGAAAGCTAGGGGTATTTGAGGACAAACAGCAACTAGAATGAACTTGTATTATCTGCTAGCATCTCCCTAGAATTGTCAGCATTATGGTTATTTGGATAGTAGAGGAAAGGGTGATTTGGATGGCTAAGGAAGTTGAGATCACTCTGGTTACATAATTAATAAATTACTTGGTAATTATGTATTTAGCATCTGTGTCCCATGAGACAGTAGTTTCCCTCTGGATAGTGATTCTGTCTGACTTGTTTACTACCGATCACTGGGTGCCTGGCTCAGTGGGTGCTCAGTAAATATTTGTTTTGTGAATGAACATTTCTAGATGTTTTTGTGTTTCTGGGTCAAAAGTCAGAAGCGTCTGATGACATGTGATGAGGAGAACTGGAAGAAAAGCCCAGGCTCTGAGGATGAGGAGCTGATAGAAGCTGGGGGTGGAGGGGTGTTATATACACAGACTGATTTGCTGGGAGCGTTCTGATCCAAGCCCAGGCCCCCAGGACAGCTGGAGAGACAACAGGACACTGTTGGTGCCTAGTCAATGGACTTCAAGAGACCCCGTTGCATTGTGGGAAGGGGTTTCGTAGTGTCTTAGGCTTGGCACTCATTGGCTCAGGTTTGGAATAGGTCTACAGATACCAGTGGGATACATTATCTTTGGCAGAACAAAGACAAACAGGGACTGACAGACCTTAGGCTACATGTGTTCTCTGATTCTCTGAGAGTGACAAAGAATCCTTAAAACATATTGAGGAGTTCTTGCGTGCTAAGAACCTCTCTCCATTTATGCCCTCCTCTCCCCTGGACCCACATTTATTCCTTTTGTTGCCTCTGACTGTTCTAAAAGCTGGGTCTAATACGCCTTGAGTGGCCTGGTTCCATAGCCTGACCACAGATGTCTTTCAGTTTTCCAGACCAAAAATACTGCCATTTTGATTCCTGGCCTTTCTCTCCCCAAGTACCAGCCTTGGTGGATGGAATAGGAAGCCTGACCTTGGAGCTTGTTCATCAGCAGATCAGCTCATCATGAATTTTCCCAGATTCTAGTACTCAGGAGAAAAAAAAATTTTTTTTCCCAGGATTATTTTCTCTCTATGTTGTCTTAAAAGGGAGTTATGTTGCAATGTTCACGGCAACATATTTTCCAACACTTTTGGTTAGGTTTTCCCTTGTCCTATGGATCCATACTAATAAATCAATATCTGTTTTTGAGCACCTACTATGTGCAAACACTGGACTATGCACTAATTAGGGGATAAAAAGAATGGTTAAGTGTCATTCATTCCTGTCCTCAAAGAGTTTAAAATTGAATTTTGGGGACAAATCACAAAATAACTAATAGTTGAATAACTGTAAATGTATAAATTTGACATAGAAGGGATTTACAAACAGAACAGTTCTGATTGTTGCTTGAATTGTGTAAGTAAGGTCTGGTGCTGGAACTTGGGAGGGATTTATGAAGAATAGCAGAGAAGTCATCACTGATCTAGGAACCTGATCTGAGTTTTGGATTTAGAATTTATCCAAGAACACAAGAGGTGGAGATGGCCATGCACACAGGCAGGGCTAGATGACTTGAGCATAAATATGGTCAAGGGAATGGAATGGCGTGGATCAGAGCACTTGCAGGAAGGTTGGCTGTGTGAGATAAGGTCAAATGTGCAGGTTTTTCAGCAGGACCCTGAAAGCCTGGCTGTGGACTTGGTATTTTGATCTAGAGATGATGGAAAGCGTACAGGTCAAAGTGCATACCAAATCCAGCTCAGCAAAGGGAGCACTATGTCAGCGCTAATGAGATGAAGTGTACACTGGAAAAAGTGCAAAGGCATGTGTGTGTATCTACATCTGTGCATGTGTATGTATGTGCATGCTCCTCTTAAGAAGGGCGCACATTCAAGATGCAGACCATGATCTTAACAGTCTTTGACTTGGCAAGATAGAGATGTTAATGTGTCTATAAGCTCTATATTGGTCCTTGGTGTGATTTGGCTGGGAAAAGCCTCCTGTACTTCAGGCTCCGGCAACAGGAGTAGAGTCTCCAGAATGAAAGTTGAACTGGCATACTATTCCTTCCCCAGGTCTTCGAAGAGGACTGCTTTGATAAGATGGCCAATATTCACACAGAAGCTTCATGAGTTCTTTCCTGTGGGAGGGTCTTATTCTAAAGTGCTATTCCGATTAAGGTTTTTCTATAATTCAGAGCCAACCTCACTTTCTCAGACCATTGCACATCTTCATGCAGAGTTTACTGAGCCTCCTGATGTGACACATTCAAAACTTGTCTGGGAGAAAAAGTATTGATGTACAACCAGATGAGCAAGCATTTGTCTGAAGCAAAAGAGTATTCTGAGACATAGAATTTCTAGGGCAAAAACAAGGAGAATCCTGGAAAACTACAATGGTTAATCACCCTACAACATATCAGAACTTTCCCTTGAAGATTCACCCCCACCCCCAGTGATTTTTCTCCTAGAACCTGCCTTAGAGCAACCTGCCTGTCCCATAGATATTTATCCTCTATCTCACTGGCTGTTTCTCAGGTTTTTGAAGGGGGTACTATTGTGATGCTTTAGGGTTTGCAAATCTAAAATATTCACCAAGGTCATTTTTTTCCCTATCAGTTTCCTTGAGGCGTTGTATTGCACAAACTATCCCATGTGACTTTTCCTTTTTGTCAAAAACAGATTCCCTTAATCTTGGGAGGACCAATATAGCAGTGGAAAGAATATGGATTTTTGGATGCTTAAAGATATGCTGATGGATTCTGGTTTCAACATATACTAGTTGTGGTAGACAGTGCTATGTATTCACCAGATCCTACTGCATTTTCCTTTCCTGGGCACAGAGGAAGATCACTTAGGTGCCCTCTGAGCACTTCTGGCCAATAAGTTGTAAGCCAACTGACTGTGTCACTTTAGAGCTGAAGCATGGAATACAGGAGAGCTTCTCCACGGTCCTCTATCCTTGCTGTCATGATTATTAAGGTCATGTGTCCAAGATGGCAGAAGTCCTTGAGTGGCTAAGAGGACTGAGGACCTCTCCCCTCACCATTGTCTCCTATTTTACTTTGTACCAGCAACAAATAAATGTTTGAGGTTTTGTGGTTAGTTTATTACTGCAGCATAACCTGATTAAAATGCTAGTTCTGTGTCTTCATCACCTTGGGCTACTCAAAAAAATACCATGGATTGGGTGGCTTAAGCAACAGACTTTTATTTCTCTTAGTTCTAGGATGCCAGAAGGCCAAGGTGAAGGTGCCAGTAATTGGGCTCCTGGTGAGAGCTGGCTCCCTGGCTTCAGACAGGTGTCTCCTTACTGTGTTCTCACACAGTGGAGGCAGACCTCTGGTGTCTGTTCCTCTTCTAATAAGGTCTCTGATCTCATTATAGGGACTGTACCCACATGTCCTCATCTAAACCTAATTACCTCCCAAAGGCCCCATCTCCTAATACCATCACATTGGGGTTAGTGTTTCAACATATGAATCTGGAGGGGCAGACATATTCAGTCTCTAACACCTCGTAAACTTGTCAGGTTACCTAATAATGCTGAGGCTATGAAAAAGGGAAATAATATCTCCTTTAAAGAGCCACCTTATAGGGCTTCTAGGATATGTAAATGAGATACTGTAGATGTGGTGTTTAGAATGGTTCCTTATACATAGCAAGAGTAGAAAAAATATTTTGTTCCCTTCTCTTCTTTCAGGGAAATACAAAGCTGTTTCTTTCTGGAGTATTCTGTATTAACCAAAGGAATAAATGCAACCTCTAATGTCCAGGGAAGCATCCACAGAGTCTCCAGATGATGCAGATGTTTTAGTTCTCTATACTGTTGTTAATTCTTGGTCTTTGACCCAGAGAGGTCTTTGATCAAGGGACTCGTGCCCAGAGCATGCTGCCATGATGTCAGACATTGGACACCAGGACACCCACGTTCACTTCTAAGCATCGTCTCTTAAGATGATTGCCAACAAATGGAGGAACTTCCAGAGGAAGGTGAGCAGGTTAGGAAAAGTCTGGAAGCCATGAGTGAACAATCTACTCCGAGTAAGTTTGCCAGATTTAGCAAATAAAAATATGAGAAGCCCAGTAAAATGAGAATTTCAGATACATAATGGATCCTATTTTAGTATAAGTATGTCTCATGAAATCTTTGGGGTTCTACTTATAGTGACAAAGTGTCCCTTATTTATCTAAGATACAAATTTACCTGGGATCCCTGTATTTTATCTGGCAGTGCTAGCTACAAGGATCATTGGGGACGGTGCACACACATCAGATAAAGAGACGCAACATCACAGTTAGGAATACAAATGTGTATTTATGCTTGAGCACTGGGAGCTGCTGGGTATGCAAATTTTTGAGTGAGCAGTGGGGAAGTTCAGAATTAGGTATGTTATTCTGGGAGAATTGCATGGGAAAGGCAAATTTGGGTGAGGGTGGGAATTTTAGTTATCTTCACTTCCTCTTTTCCCTCAAAATATAGATAAACCAGAACTGACTCTTTCTTTCTTTTGACTTGTCCTAAGACATACAAGCAGGAAGATAATGTTCTGGAACTTGTCTGTTACTTGTTACATTGTCTGCCCTCCCTCTCTTTTTGTCGGTCCTTCCTTACATGTTTATTGGTACATACATTTATTGAGCAACTGTGCTAAGGGCTTTCTTGACATAAGAACTCTAACAGCCCCAAGAAACAATCTTTCCTAAGAAGGGGAAGCCATATCTTACAAAATCTACAATGATTTAGAAAATTTGTAGTGGCATGCGGTGGGTATAGTGGTTCAGGGCAGAGGAGAGAGCAAAGAGAGGGTGGATTAATAACTTGTAGATGAACAAAAATTATTGTCCTCACCCTGACACTTTTTACTTTATGTTTACTGATTATTCTAGTAAAATATGTTCATTATGGAAGACAAGGGCATGTAGAGAAGTAGAAAGAGACAGGAAGGGGAGCCTGGGTGGCTCAGTTGGTTAGGTGTCCCAATCTTGATTTCTGCTCAGATTGTGATCTCACAGTTGTGAGATTAAGCCCCGCACCTGGTTCTGTACTGGGTGTGGAGTCTGCTTGAGGTTCTCTCTCTCCCTCTCTCTGCCCCTCCCCTAATGGTCCCTCCCCTGCTCACACTCATTCTCTCTAAGAAAGAAAGAAAGAAAGAAAGAAAGAAAGAAAGAAAGAAAGAAAGAAAGAAAGAGAGAGAGAGAGAGAGAGAAAGAAAGAAAGCAAGCAAGCAAGCAAGCAAGCTTGTGTGGCTCAGTTAAGCGTTCGACTTTGGCTTAGGTCATGATCTCATGGTCTATGAGTTGGAGCCCTGAGTTGGGCTCTGTGATGACAGCTCAGACCCTGGAGCCTGCTTCAGATTCTGAATCTCTCTCTCCCTGCTCCTCCCCTGCTCACACTCTGTACCTCTCTCTCTCAAAAATAAATAAACAATAAATTTTTTTTTTAAAAGAAAGGAAGAGAGAGACAGGAAATGTTGTAACATGGATAGTTTCTCCCTGTCTTCTCTCTGAATATTAGTTTTCTTTTTTTTTTAATGTTTTATTTATTTCTGAGAGAGAGAGACAGTGTGAGCAGGGTGGGTCAGAGAGAGAGGGAGATACAGAATCTGAAACAGGCTCCAGGCTCTGAGCTGGCAGTCAGCCCAGAACCTGATGCAGGGCTCGAACCCACAAACTGTGAGATCATGACCTGAGCCGAAGTCGGACGCTTAACCAACTGAGCCACCCAGGTGCCCCTGAATATTAGTTTTCTTTAGAGTTAAGTAGATTTTATGTACGTTTATTTTCTAAGTTCTTCCTCCCCCACTTAACAGCATCCCATCAACTTTTCCCTCTTTATCAGTCTTAAATCTCTTATCAATATTTTAGATCAGAAGGGGGTCAGTTTTGACTCACATTTTCAGGGGAAGGAATGAGATTGGATAAAGAAAGACTCATCACCCTTGTCTGCTGGGATATTGCCCTGGCTTTGATCTGTGTAAAACAAAGTCCCCAGGAAAAGAAAGTGCCTTTTATCTATCACCCTCAGACTTGCTAGGCAGCAGCCCTGAGTTAAGAACAAAACATCTACCCAGACCAACTTTGACTCCTATCTTTATCAGGTGTTGGACTCTGGTTTTACTAAATCTTGATGGCCATAAAACAGTATGTCTGTTATCGTTACACTTGCTCCTCTGCCCTCTGCCCTCTGTTTGTAAACACCCCCACCCCTTCCCTCCCTTCTTCCCTGTGCAGGAATGCTAGGAGCATGGCCCTGGTCTTGGGAGCTTAGCTCTGTTGACCCCCAGAGTGTCTCCTCCTCCCTTCTGGTGCAGGTCATGGCTCCCGAGGAATTTGCAGCCCCTAAGGAACAGAGTGGAATGCACAAAGCACAGATTTTTGGGTTGGGCCCTGGGGCCTCCATGGATGGCCTGCTGCCCAGTAAGTGAGCTACGAAATATCTGGATGGGAGTGATATTTGCATTTTGATAAGAACAACTGCAGATTCTGCTGATCATCGTCCTTGACATCTGCATGTGATACACACGTGGGTACAGACGTCTTTTATAGAGGACACACCTAGCTGGGGCACAAGTTTGCATTGTTTCCTTTAAACTTTAAGAGGATCCACCAGGCGGATGGCTAATATTCCCATTGCAGGCAAACTGTTTTGGTTGTGCAAACACACACAGCGAGGGGGTGGAGTGGGGTACAGAGTCAAGCCTTCACCTTCACCTCGCTCACCCTGAGGTCCAGGCTTTAACTGCTGTCCACCCGAGAGCAGAACATTCTGGAGCTGGAGACAGCATCAGAGGAGATGCAGAAACATTGAATGCCCCAGCCACTCTGCAAGCCAATTACATTTTGGGGTGGGGCCTAGCTTAAGTCCTACAAGGAGTTCTGAGGGGTAGCCTGGATTGAGAACCAGTAAAATCCAACACCTTTATTCTCAAATGATGAATAGTTTACGCTTTAGCTGAGTAGCAGAGCTGGAGCTGGGTCCAGGATTTCCAATATGCTCCAGTCCCTACGTGGACCCTATGTGGCCACACACACCGCAGGGAGGTGCTGATTAAAAGCCTTTAATTGGGGCAGATTCCAGACGTGAAGTCATATACACCCATGCTCCCCTCCCCCTCAAACTGCAAAGTACTCATTTCTCCATACTCAGTCGACGAACGCCAATTTGAACATTTGGATGTTTAGTTTGTTGGCCTACTGGCCCTCTTGGGGGTCGTTTTTAGAATTTTAAAGCCCTGTTCTGCAGCCCTCTGCTAGCTCAGGGAGAAGATCTCCTGAGGCAAATGCCCACGTCTCTCTCAGCCATTCCTCTGTGGCTTCCTCAAATGCTTCTGACCTGGCACGTGGCTGTATGTTGCCCCCTTCAGGTGTCTGTCTCTCTCCTCTCAGGCTGGGCCATGGCCACATGGGCAGCTCCACGTGGGTGTCTCTGTAGCCAAAGGTCACAGTGATTGAATTTAGGTCTCAAAAACCTAATACCCCGAGGACAGTGACTGGACAGCAGAGGTAGAGTCGGTTGGGGTGAAGAATGCTTAGTCATGAGCTGGCTTGTCTGCTAGAGGAAGGTCAGGAACCTGGGAGGGCAGTACAGGTGGGAGAAATGCCAACATACTCTTCCCTCTTCTCTGGTAAGCCAGCCAACAATGGGTCAGCCATGGGCCAGCATTCTATTCCAGCAAGCTACAGGCTACACTGGGCTGTACCCTTCAGTAGGGAAGGGTGGAGCATTTAGGGGTGTGCCCTGGGAGACAGAACAGAAGGAGCTGAGGTGACCCAGGGGCCTGACTCCAGGGGAGGGGATTCCCCCTTCCTGTGGTGAGGCGGAAGTTGTGTCATACTGTCATATACACTATGTTTAGGTCACTGTGATGTGTTTCCAGCTACCTTCTCTCTCTTTCCATTCCTTATAGGGTATTCACGTCCTCAGTCAGAGCAGCTCCCTGTCAGCATGGCGGGGAAACCCTGCCGGTATGTGCCTGAGCCTCTGAGATGGGGGATTTGGATGCCAGCCCCTTCCTCATCTCTGCCCTCGCAAGAGAGGCTGTCACCGTGGAAAACAAATAGGAAGGCATTAATGGTGTCTGTTCTGGATGTTCCTATAGCATCAATGTCTTCTCAGGAGTCCCCAGCTAACACCAGTCCTCCGAGACTTGGAGCAATAGCTCAAAGAGACATTTTCAGAGATGTTGGGTCTTGATTAGGTTTGGGAAACATGAAGTTCAAAGTCTGGTGAATTCTGGTCAATGATTAAGCAAAGGGAAAGACAGGGAATTTAGGTGGTGTTAGGCTCTAAGTGATGGTTAAGAATGTGAGCGTTGGAGCAAACTGGTCAGGGTTCAAATGATCACTTACTAGCTGGAACCAGGTTCCTGAAAAAGTGCCTCATTTTCTTCATCTGCAAAGTAAGAATGATGAAGTGTCTTACTCTATAGAAATGTAGTGAGTATTAAGTGACTTAATACATGTAAAGGGTTTAGAACAATGCTTGGGACACCCTGAGCACTAGGTAAAATGTTAGTGGTAGTTATTTTAATTTGACTGCCTCATTTCTCCCCAATGTCAGGCCCATACTAATGTGTGCCACTGTCCTTTGGGCAGACATTCAGTCTGAGGAGACAAGGGGGGGGGGGGAGAAAGAAGGGCATGGAATAGAGTCAGCCCCTGACACACAGCCCAGGCTCCTGTTCCGTCCTCTGCCTGAGGCTGGGTTCTTTTGTCTGTGCTCAGTAACATAACAGACTCTCTCTCTGGTTCTTGGAGAGACACATGGAAGAGTGACCGACGTCTGGGCCGCTGAGCTACTGTGCAGGTGTGGAGGGCCACGCCAGCTTGAGTCACGTGGCAACCCCCCAGGGCTGTTCCTGGAGCCTACCCTGTCCCACAGACGAAGACTCAGCTGTGACTCACTATATTCAGGTGGTGCCTGGGCCTTAGTCACCTGGTGCCTCTTCCTACCAGTACCTGAGTTCAGCGCTCACAGCCCGCACCAGGCTCTTTTATCCACCGTAAACTCCTCTCCTTCCCTCTCTCCTTCCCTCCTCTCCTTCCCTCCTCTCCTTCCCTCCTCTCCTTCCCTCCTCTCCTTGCTCTCTACCCCTTGATCTCTCAGTGATCAGATCTTGGCTGATCTCCCTGACAATTTGGACGGGTTGAGCCTGACAGATGGATAGTGGAGACTGGAGCTTCTAATGCCACCCCCACACCCTGTCAGAGACATTGCCAGGAATGACTGATAAGCACACAGGATGCTGCCTACATCAACGTGGTGACATTTCTGTAGTCTGGGGGTAGGTGCCTCCAAAAAGATTCCCCTGTCTGCAGCTGACTACCACAGGAATTTCCACTATAAGCCATCCATTCTGGTGACAAGAGGCCCAGACTGTCCCCTCTGAGAATGCAAATAGACCCACAGTGCATGGGGACTCCTTCAGCTGTATCACCTGCTTACACTTCGGTGTGAACCTGCTCGTTACACAAAGAGTGAGCGCCTGCTATGTGCAAAGCACTATTTCAAGGCACTTGGAAACAGTAGTGAACAAAAGGGACAAAAATCTCTGCCTTCTTCGACGTGTCATTCCGGTGGAAGGAGTCAGAAAATGAACATGATTAACAGGTAAGTTATATAGTTGGTGGAAAGGTGGTAAGTGTTGCACACAACAACCAGAAAGGCCCAGCCCACCATTAATGTAGGGTAGGTGGGCTTGGGAGGGCTAGGGGCTCGGGCTGGGGCTGAGGCAGGGAGCTCGCTTGCATTTTAAATAGGGTGGTCAAAGTCATTGAGAAAGTAGCCTTTGAACAAAGACTTGAGAGAGGTAGACCAGTTAGCCTTGCAGACACCCAGGGGAACAGTGTTCAGGGGGAGGGAGCACCCAGGGCAAGGCAGCAGAGCCCTAGGACGGAAGCAGCGCAGTGGTTTGGAGGCACAGCTAGGAGGCCATGCCCCTGGCGTGAAAGGAGTGAGGGGCAGCAGTAGCAGAGACAGAAGAGTTATGGGGGTGTTTTGATCACGTAGGGCCTCATAGACTCTCTCTAAGGGCTTTGGCTTTGACCTTGACCATGATGGGGAGCTAGTGCAGGGTTCTGAACAAAGGAGGGTCTACTACAGACCAGTCAGGAGGAAGAAGCGGAACGTTCTAGGATTTGCAGAAGTCCGAGGAAGAGAGGCTCGGGCCAAGAGGGTGGATGTGATTGGTTCTAGTTGCCTTTGGAAGGGGAGCTAACAGCATTTCCTGATAGGATGATGTGGGTGCAAGAGAAACAGGAGTCAAGGTTAACCTGAGTGGCCATTTTCCTGAGCTCAAGTTCTAATGAGCCAGGGCTGGTGGGAGGGGTGGTGGTGGTGAGGGCTCCAGAACAGGATGAAGGGAAGCAGGGAGAGAGGGAAGAGTACAGAGGAGGGAGGCTGGGGCATGGTAGTGATGCCCCCACCTGCTTTTAGCCCTGGCCAGGTCCTAACCCAGCTTCTGGCTCTAGTTTAGACTTCTTGTCTCTGAACAAATTGAGTTCTAAAAGTTCAAAGCCTGTGCCCAGGGGTCTGCCATCCTGAGGGTTCTAGATCCCTACTGAGGAGTGCTCAGTATCCCTGAGGAGTGAGGCTGATGGGGCTACTCTGGGCATCTGCAGGAACACTGTCCTGGATTTGGCCCAGAGTGTGTGGGGGGCCCAAAGAGAGCAATTGCCATTTCCCTCTGTGAAGCCAAACCACTGCTGGGGCCTGCCCCAGCCTGTGAAGTCTGAAATGCTAAAGGCTTATTTATCCAGGCTCCTGGCCTCATAAGGGAGGAGAAGGAGGGGGATTTGAAGGGCCCCAGCCACTCAGTGTGCGGCCCACCACACACCTGCCCCGCCTCGTCTGGGAGTCTGGAATTGCCACACCTGCTCCTTCTGCTGGTTAACTATTAATGAGTTCTTTGTCACATCCTCTTTCCTGGTGGTGGGCAGGGGATGGGGCAGTTCCAGGAGTGGGGAGGCTTCCTGGAAGCCTGGAGTTCAGGGAGCTGGAGAAGCAGGGAGATACAGATCAGGCCAGTGGACTCAAAGCCGCAGGGGGTGGGGTGGGCATCAGCAGGGATCTTTCTCTGGAGGGTGTGATGGGGATCTCTCTGTGTTCTTATTGCAGAGGCTGACCCAAGAAGGGACTTGTACAGTACGGCCAGCTTGTGCTGACTCTGGCTTGTTGATTAAGCCAGATTTCACTGACAATCTTACAGGGATCAAGACATTAACAGTTATTGGAGTGTCTGTTATGTGAATAAATAACTTAATGTGCATTTGCTAATTACAGTACTTCCCCTGCCACCTAAGCTTATTGGACCAAATTAGAACCTAAGGGGTAGAAATGCCAAGTTTAATCCACAAAATCCTACATTTTCCCCTTAAGGGTTCTCAAACCAATTTCTTGGAATTAACCCTCAAACTAGAGAACTTCTTGCTTAGGAGACACTGACAGACTGGACTGGATAGTTAAGTGTCTTCTTTAAATAGAAACTTTGAGGCAACAGTGTTCCAAGACAATGCCAGAGCAGCAGTGCCAAGATATGGGCTGGGTGACCTTCCAGATCTCTCTAAAAGCCCTCTCTGACCCTAACCCGGGGGATGAGTATCCTCTGAGACCAACCTCTCTGTCTAGGCCTATTACTGCCATTTACAGTGGCCCTCAGCCCAGGGGCCCTAAGGCAGGGGTACACCCAGAATCCCACAAAGGAAGCTGTGTTCTCAGGCCTGGTGCGGGGAGCAGGGGCAGGGGAAGTGGGTCTAGCTGTGCTTAGCCTTTCCTTTTACCACTTGTGGTCAGGTGTGTTTCCTGGCCCTGCAGTCTGGCATTCCTGCCCTCGGAGGGTGGAGCCAGGAGACCAGCCGTTACTGAGCTGGGGGCAGTGACTCACAGGTAGTTACCTGTCCTGGGGCTCCCTGCCAGCCTGCAGAGGAAGCTGGAGGGGAGGCATTTAGAGTTTATTCCTGTTTATTCCCCTTAATCTTTCCGTGGGCTTTGACCCCTTGCTGATGAGCCTAAAGGGCCTGTAAATTCCCCAAGAAGCAGGGATTTTCCACTTTTTTTTTCCCCCTTGGGAGGGGGTCTGGTGCTTTCCAGGGTCCTGGATGTTTAGTTCTTCTCCCCTTGTAGCCCAGTGACAGGTCTGGGCAATAATACCCTATATACCGGCCCTGACCTTTGTGTCCTCTGCTTGGTCTTCTGTCGGGGTGGTCCAGGACACAAGAGGAAGCTGACCCCTATAGCCTTGGGGGCCAAGTGCACTGTGAGGGCCATTCCCTGCCTCCCTGGAGTCACTGACATTTGCCTGGTGCTTTCTGTTTGCAGTGGCTCCCTTCACCCACCCCCCACCCCCACCTCGGACACCCATGGGCAGCCAGGGACTGATGAGCTCGCTGTGAGGCCTCTGAGACCAACCCACTTGCCCAGTCCTGTCCTAGGGGGTGGGGGTGCCGTGACGGCGATGGGCGTGCCAGCCACCAGATTCCTGAGGCCCGCCCTGCAGTGGGCTACGCCCAGCCAGGGAGTCTCCAGAGGTGAGGCTGTTCTTTAAAAACTGGGAGCCAGGAGACGAGACCCCCACATTCAAGGGGTGCTTTTAGAGGCCATCTGGAGAAAGAAGAGCAGCAGCACGGAGCCAGGTATGTTACCTGCCTTCACCTGCCCAGTGGGAACCAGACGTGGGGGAAGGGCTGTCTGTGTCGCAGGGTGTCTGGGGCCTGGCTGCAGGGCCTGATTCAGTCCTTCCTGGGAGCTCACCCAAGCAAGCAAGCTCACCTCCAAAGGCTAGGTTAAATGTCTGCCATTGTTTGGGCTGCTTTTTCACATCTGATAGGTATCTCCGTGACACCTAAAAAAGCAGCTTCAGATCGGGGCTGAGCACAAAGAGTAGTGCAAAGTGCGGGCTGGCCCAGCTAGAGCTCTTCCAAGGGCCACACCGATGCCTAGTTGTGGGGGATTCCAGCGGGGGGTGGAAGGGCAGAGATAGCACTGGATGAAAACCGAAAAACAGGTCTCCCTTCTAGGCCATGATTAGCTATGCAACCTCAGGCCACCCATCTCCTCCTGGGGCCCCTGAATCTTCTACCAGAGGATTGGAAAGCATGATTTTGAGTCATTAGGATGTGTGATTTAAAGATCACAGGAGGGTCCCCAGGTCCCTCTGTGGCCATACCTTGCCCCGCACCCCCTCCTTCTTCCACCCCAGCCAAAGGAGTTTGTGGCTGTCATTGGAGCAGGGCATGCATCCAAACCAGGGCAGAGTTGAGCACTGCCTGAGCCGAGGTGGGACTTGCCTCCGCAAGGTAGGCCTGCCTGTCCCCCGGAGGGACCCTTTGAGTCCAGCCTCAGCCTCCAGAATCCTCACTCTGGGGCCTCTCTCCTGCACAGCCTCCTGGGGGCCAAAATGGGAGACATTTTGAGTTGCTTCCAGTTTATATGAAATCATCACTCACTTTTAAAATTCTGCCAGGCTCCCTTTTCTCCCCATCACATCCCGGCTACCTGCTTAGCCCAGAATTGTGACCATCACAGTCCCAACCTTAGGGTGGCCTGGGTGGTATTGGAGACCATAGCAGTGGCAGAGAGAACTTGCTTCCAGGCCCTCAGCCACTTTGACCCACTCACTTTTGGACCTGGATGTTGGGCCAAGCCCTGAGAAAGGCCAATTCTGTTTCTTGGGGTAGAAACAAGGCCTCTATAGCTCCTCTTCTGCAAAGGGCCCAGCCCTTTTCTGCTCTGCACATTGTCCTTATGATTGTGCAGGCAGGGAAGAGCCAACCCTCTTTCCCTTCTGTCTCAGAGAGGGAAGATGAAGTCTGGAATGCGACAGCATTTTCCCAGAGTGTGCTGTGAGACACACACCAGCTCGGACATGGGTCCAGGGCTCTGACATTTTCCAAGCTTTTGGCTACAAATATACCTGCTGCTCAGAAGTATCCTAGGTCAAGACCCTAGGTAAAGGGAGCTAGTGTGCCTCAGGGATTTTATTGTTTTATCCAAGCTGCTTTGCTCTGTCCCAGGTGAGGTCCTCTGTGGGGATTCCCCCCATTGGCTGAAAATGAGGCCACTCCTACTCCTGTGTTTTGGTAAGTATCCATCCCCATCCTTCTAGGCCCTATTATATCGCGGGAGGTGACAGCCATGGATAGGAGGATAGTTTACCAAAGTGAGAGCACCATCTGTCACCCTGTAGTCCTTGAGCTCGGAGCGCCTGTCTACTGGGGCACCCATGAGGTTTCCCTGCTCCTTTGGGCCTTTGGGGAAGATGAGAGGTCCCTAAGTGTCTTCTTATTCCTACCTGAGGGTGGCTCATGGTTCCCCAAGCACAGCTAATTTCCCAGCCTTTCACTCTCTAGCTGGTTCTAGAGCCATCATGGCTTGATTTTACAGTGGATTGTAGCTGGACACTCACTAAGTGTGGCTGGGTCAACTTTGCAGATAAAGGAGCAGAAAGAATGCGGGCATCTCCTGGTGTTGCACAAATGGCCAGCAGCCAGCACTGCCCTGGTTGCTGACAGAGGCCAGGCTGCAAGTGAAGAGATTGAGGAGTGTGTCCCGGTGGCTGAGTATGTGCCTACAATTTGATTCTAAAAGCCACATATGGATGCCACATTTCAGGATCATCCAGGGTGTTGGTTGCCAGTGTTTTCCCTCCTTTCCTTTTTAAGTTATGGGTTATAGAACATGAACTCAGGGGTTTTTTTTTTCCCCTCACTGCCACCACTGAGTGGGAGCATGCATGAGGAAAAAGGTCTAGTCTTGCAGATTTATGCTTCCCTGGGGGATACTGGGTGGCCTGGCAGACCCTCCTCTCTCTATGCTACATCCCAAAACCCTTGTGATTTCAGTCTTGCCCAACCTCCTGTGTGCCCAGCAAGTCTGTTCCCGCGGGGCCTGCTATCCACCTGTTGGGGACCTGCTCATTGGGAGGACCCGGTTTCTCCGTGCTTCATCCACCTGTGGACTGACCAAGCCTGAGACCTACTGTACCCACTATGGCGAGGTAGGCCCTACCACCATGGCCTCCAGGGCTGGAAAAGGCCAGATGGGGGCGTGTGTATGAGTCTTCCATTTGTTCACAGACTGCCTGGAGTGTACTTGAGATAGCCCCAGCCCCATGCCCTGTGGAGAGTGTAAGAAACATATAAGGCCAGATCACTGCCTCTAAAGAATTTTCTCCTTCATTGGGCAAGAGAAAATGTACTCAAAATTAGCGGAATGGTTCTTTTCTCTCTTCTGCTTGATAAAGTTGAAGTCTCTCCCCAGTCCTTGGGCATGGGCAGGACAGGTTTTCAGGTCTTGGGAACAGACAATTGGATGAGTATTGATCCTGTAGTATGTAGAGTTTAACCTGTTGTCTGTGGTGGATGAAGCCAAGGCTGATGGAGCATAGGTGGTGGGATGTGTGCACTGGGTTGTGTTCTTGCCAAGGGATGAAATAAGTTGTTCCATGGTCACTCGTTTGCCACCATCTCTTTGGCCAGCTTTGGGATATGAGTGTGAACAGAGCTAGCAGGACAATATATGATTGTAAACTGGAGTTTACCTTCTGTGTTTTGCAACTGTCATGTATGAAGAGCCAACTTACCTCTCAGCCTTGTTGCTGCAGTCAGGCAAAATGAGAAATATCCCAGCTGCTCTTGGAGGACATAAGTCAGCAGGATAGACCAGGGAGTGATAAGGCTGGAAAGGAGGCTTGGAGGCTCAGCTGATAAGTCGGAATACAAGCTGAACAAATCCAAAGCTCAAACTATAGGACCTATATGTCAATTAACATCGCCTGATTAGGCAACTGAGTTTTCCAAAGAGTTGTGATTTTTTCCTTCTACGTGCCTGTGGACCTTTTTTGTAGAAACTTTGGCTTTCTTTTCTTTTTATTTTTTTTAAAATGTTTATTTTTGAGAGACAGAGCATGAGCATGAGCAGGGGAGGGGCAGACAGAGAGGGAGACACAGAATCTGAAGAAGGCTCTAGGTTCTGAGCTGTTAGCACAGAGCCCAATGCAGGGCTTGAACTCATGAACTGTGAGATCATAACCTGAGCTGAAGTCAGACGCTTAACTGACTCAGCCACGCAGGTGCCCCTCTTTTCTTTTATCTTTAATAAAGTGGGGAACATTCTTGATGCCTCATCACTTAACATTTTCTTGTTTCCCAGCTGCATGTCTCATTTGGCCATTTTCTGCCCCAAAGACAAAGGTTTGGACAAAGGAGTGGGTGAGAAAGTGGTTTTCCCTGAGTCTCTAGTCTTTTCAGAAAAGGAGAGAAAGAGAGAAACACAGAGAGAAGGGGAATTAGAGAGATTGATTGCCATGAAGGAGACTTGGGTTCACAAAGAACCTGTGGTTTCCTCTTTCCAAACTGTCCTCGTCCTTGGGATGATGGAGGTGGCATCTGATACCACCTGTGAGCCTCACTGGCCTTCTTGTCTCCAGTGTTCTCTTTTAATGACAGATGGTACTGGGTAGTGGCTTTGGAGGTGCTGAGCAGAGATGACTGTGGTTTCTTCTGCTCACCCAGTTGGATATAGGAACAGTGTTTGACAGTGTTGGGTAAGATGGCCGGCATAAGACAAGTACTCCCTGTGGGCCCAGATTACTCCACAGGCATCAGGAGGTCTGGCAACATTGAGCTTTCTAGGCAACAGAATGGTTTTAGCCACCCCATTCCTACACACCCTCAAAATCTTGTGCCACTAGGGCATGTCCAAAAATTTCAGGGAGACTTCTGCTGACCTCCTTCCTCGAGCTGGCCTGCCTTCTGTAAGGGGAAGCAAGGAGAAATCAGAGCCCCCGTCCTGGCACGTCCCCTCAACCCCAGTCCTGTCTGGACAGCCTATGTCCCCAAAGCCTTGGGCTTTTGGCTTCACCTTGGCCTGACCTCTGCCTCTCTCAGATGCCCCCCGGGAGCCAACTCCCTTCCCTGCTCTTAAGCATTCCCCCGAGAGCAAAGTGGTGCTTGCAAAAGAGAAGTCTAGACTTTTGCAACCCTGGGGATGGATAAATCTCAGCTATTTTGCTGCTGTGAAAGTTGAGAAGCATTGGCTTTCTCCCCTCCTTTTCTATAAGGGGGGATAAAGCCATGCAACCTCTTTTCAAGACTAGAGGATAGGGCATCTTGAATGCAGTGGGTAGTCCCAGGTCTGCTACTAACTTGTGGTGTGATCTTGGTCGAGATATTACCCCTTTCTAAGACTTACTTCCTCTTCCAGGATTGAGTGTTAGATGAAAGGGTCTTCAGGTTTGCTCCTGGCCCCAATTTTGTCTGGGAATGAGTTGACTGCTGAAAACCAGCTTCTCATCCCCCTACCTTCCACTCCTCTCTTGTTTCATTTCTCATTTCATCTCTCTAACCTATCTCACCTCCTAGAGGCTCTTGGGTGACAACTGTGAAGATGCACACTAAAAACACACACTGGGGGGTGCCTGGGTGTCTCAGTTGGTTGAGCATCCGACTTCAGCTCAGGTCATGATCTCACTATTCATGGGTTCAAGCCCCGTGTCACTCTATGCTGGCAGCTCAGAGCCTGGAGCCTGCTTCGGATTCTGTGTCTCCCTCTCTCTCTGACCTTCCCCTGCTCACCCTGTCTCTCTCTCTCTCTCAAAAATAAAAATAAAACATTAAAAAAATAATTTAAAAAACCACACTGGGTGCAGTGGTGGCTATGTGATTACAATTAAGAATCAGTATTTTAACTGCTGAGTTCCAATTCTAGTTTTTAAGTTTAATTTATTCTATTATCAAATGGTATATTTAGCAGCTGTAATTTATTAAGCACATATTATGTGGCCCAGACATCATACTAAGAGTTTTATATAATCTATCTCAATTCATTTTCATGATACTTCATGTGGTGGTGCTTGTTATCTCTGTGAGCTATTGGGAGGGTTTGGGTGTGTGCTGAGATCCCAAATTTATGATGGAAATACACAGGTGCCAAGTTTTCTGAGTAGTTAGAGATGGGGGTGTACTGGCCAGCCCTGGCTGGAGACGAGACATGATGTAGAGCTGCATTCCTAGTGCCTGCCCCCTCCCTTTCCCCCCTCACCCATTTCTGCCAGCTCCTGCCCTGATATACACACCTGCCTTAAGTCGAAGCTTCTGGTTAGTGCCTCTGTTCTATTTCTGTGACATGGCAAGCCCTGAGCCAATTACAGCCTCACCCAGCACCTGCTGCCTGCCCATTGATGTGGCATGAATGCAAGCGCATTGGAGATTTATGCCTCTTGGACATTCTGCGCTGCTCATTCCCCTGCTGTCCACCCTGGGGTGGGGATTGCTCAGTGGAATAGGAGCCGCAGGAGGAGTGGGGATTCCTTCCAGTTCCAAAATTGTCTCTCCCAGCTCCCGGTCTCAGAGTCTAGTTCTTTTTTTGTGGGCCAGTCTTTGCCTGTTGGCATCCTACCTCCTCTGGCCTGATTTGGTCTCAGTGGTTAAATCCCATCAGCCTCAAGAGCTTGCTTCTGAGATGTTGGGGTCCATATGACATCCCTTTCAATGGACATAGGAATTGGCCAGCTTTGCCTTATGACACCCCACACCCAACTTTGCCCCTCTGGGCCTGCCTTCCTTGACTGCCCTTTAACTATCCAGGCTTGGGCCCAGGCTGTTCCTTACCAGAATGGCCCTGTCTCCTTGCTCTCCTTCTTCTAGCTCCTAGCTAACCTCTGGGTAAACTCACTGTTCCCTAAAGCTCAGCGTACGTCCGTGTTGCCCCCTTATCCTTGTTTGCTTCTGTGCTTTACGTGAGCACAGTTCCTTGTTGGAAAAACGAGAGTAATGACAGCACCAATTCCAATAAGTTGTTGTGAGGATTGTATAAAGGAGTGAGCAAAGTGACTGTGGCTGGTGTCTGCAAGATGCTAAATGTTCCATCCCCTCTCCCCTTACACACCTGCCTCCTGGCACCTGTGTCTGTGTGCAAAGGCTGTCTCATCTGTGAATCATACTCTTGAGCATTTCTTCCCTGATTAGGACACACACTCACATATTTATCAAAATCAAGCCATCCTTGGGCTGGCCCACTCAGTTTTCAAGGTGGCCACTGCCAATCTGATTTGCAGGGGACTGCTGGAGAATCTGGAGACAATTATGGTCAGTGAAGTCACCCTGACTGGTAGTGAGGACTCTCTGGTTCTGATCCTGGCTGTGACACTTAGATTAGGGTTGGAACCTTGTTAACCCATGGGTTCCCTCTAGACCACCATTCCTCCATTTATGAGATAAAGGAGTTGGGTTAATTGGCCTTTATGTTTTTTTAGCTTTAGCATCTCTGCCTTCTCAGAGATGGCTGGGCTGTGTGTGACCCTTTGGGTTCATCATGGTCTCTCTCAGGCAAGTACTTGCAGGGGCTGAGTCATACCCTGTGGTCATCTCTGAGCTGGTGCAGGCTCCCCAGAAACCAGTGGGTTTTGTCTGGAAGCTTCCCAGCCCTGATTTCTGCTTCTGACAATGTTTCCTCCAATGTTGTGTCTGCTCCCCTAAATGCTTTATTTATCTCCCACTCCCTCTCTTTCTGGGGAAAACTTAATTACTCAGCTGCCTTAATAACAGTTTTACACAGTCCATGCCTCAGGTTAATTAGCTGTGTAAACCAAACAGCTGTCATTTTTATCTCTTGGAAACAAGCTGAAGAGCAGTAGCCAGTTCACATCCCCTCCTCCCCAACACACACACACATACAGGCACACACTTGCATATATGCATGAAAGTGCACCCACACCCACATGCACACACCCCAACAAACACTGCCTTTCTTTGACAATTGTCTGTTTCCTTGACCTTTGGCATAGCTAATGTGTAGGTAGAGGATGTCTTCATATATATTCTGAGATCCTTATCCTCTTCCCATAGAAGACTTTGAGACTGTCTCTAACCAAAATGTCTGCCTTCCTGTTTCCCAGAAGCTCTCAGACATTCTGAAACTTCCAAAGCTCCTGCCATTGGGGAATCACTCTTTTGGTGGAAGCATTGTTGAATTCCTTGTTTAAAATATAAACACTCT